TGGTTTGCTCGTAGGGCTGGTTTAAGCCCTTCAGAGCCTTCAGGGGCCTTCGAAGACGAAACATGACCTAATGGACAAGCCGGAAGTCACTTGTCAGTGCCTGTCTTGCGCACTGGGTGGTGTTGTGCATTGCATCATGGGTGTGGCACGTCTGTGCATGACCCCCCCTGCGCTCCCCCCACTTATGGCATGCAAGCCAAAAAGGTTCGCCATCACTGATCTAGGGTTTTTTCTTACTGTGAATCGTATGTATGAGATCACCTTTAATGTATGTCTAGATACATTAATTAACCAATTCAAAACAATTTCATCAGTTAAATTATATTACTTGAAGGGAACATAGGGCAACTGCTTTGAGTACTTAGCCATCTGTACAAAAGATGTAAATGATGTTTAAAGCCTTTAACAGCTAGGACACAGTTTCGTTAAGATTATTTATTTTCTTAGCTTTTTTTTAAACTGTGAGAAGCAGAAGAGAACTTACTCCACTGTATCTGTTTGAGTCTGCTGGCTTAATGACAATCAACACTTTTTCACTTTTAGCATTCCTCTTTGGAACATCCTTTTTCGTTGTTGTTGTTTAAATTTTATCCAACAGAATTGGGATAAAATTTAGAATTATTTCATTCCTGCAAGGGAAAATGATTTTCATTATTTGTGTTTGTGGATATGTTGTTTCACAGTTCTAATTATTTATTTTAAACTTTACTATGTATAACAGTTCTTAATATTTTAAAGTTAACATTTGTTTCAACCTATGAACAAATTAGTGATTTTTAAATGCTTGATTTCTGCTGTTTCTTACAAATTGTCCTTATTTCCTTCTGTACATTTTACCAAAAAACTATCACTCAGTTTTGTTTGCCCACCAAAGGTTTGTTTGTTCTTTTATAAAAAAAAATCCATCAACTGTTAAATTAGAAATCCCATTTTTGTATTATAAAAATAGTGTATTAAAATTATTTATTTAGACATTTCATATAAAATATAGAAAACTATGAATGAATTCCAGGATATGGTAATACTGTATGTTGTAATGTACCATAGAGTGTTGATTGACATCATTAATAGTAGACATTTAACTGTCACCTGATTTTGGAGGATGTAATGGAAAACCTGTCCTGTCATATTTTCTGAACAAAATTTACTTCCATTAAACACATTTAATATATTCTTCTATACACCATGAAATGATTTCTCTATCTCCTTTCTGTAGGTATATAGTGGCTGATTGGCTATTGAGTAGAATAACTTTCAAATACAGTTTTCATGTGCAGATTGTAATAAATGAATTTTCATTGATGGAAACTGACAGTGTCACTTTCTAATTGATTGAAAAATTATGTGAGAATCTTAATGTATTCATTTAACCTGCATAATTAGTTGACATGCTGCTTACATCAGTGGTACTCAAGCTGTATATTTTCTAACAAACAATGATCAAAAGGCTAATTGGCTCTATCTGAAAATAGCACTTTAGTACAGAATGAAATGGTTCATTAGAGGTGGTGACTAGATTATTTTCAGAGGTTACTTGAAGTTGAACTTGTTAATGTCATTCCTGCATTTCGCTAAATAGCATTGATGTATTATGGAGCGCATTTAGCTTTACATAATAATAAAATATTATTATCCATCCACTCCATTAATAGGTTTCTATATTTTAGAGAGGGAGTGTGTAGTTTGTGACCTCAAGTTCATGTGGCTCCCAAATCCCCTCAGATCATAACCAGGGAAAATCAAGACAGTTTGCTCTCATCTTGGGGTGGAAAACATATGGAAGCTACAATATATCCTCAACATATTCTAGTTTAAAATCCAGTTAAATCCTCCAAATTCCTCTCTGATCCCATCCACATATGCATTATAGCTACACTATAGCTCACCACTTCCAAATGTTGTTTTTGCCCACCAAAATAGTTTCTATACCTGTTTTACTCAGTTTAAGGTATTATATTATTTATTTATTTCACATATTTATAAGCTCACACAACTCAAGCAGTGTGACTCTGGAACATGTGACTCATGTTTAGTGACAAAGGCTCCCACTGAAATAATTTGGAAAATGAAGGGAATCACACTGTAGGATTGGCTGGAGAGTGCTTTGGTAAGAGGGAAGGTGGAAGGTAAAGGTGTTTAACCTTTCTGTAAGTCATGTGCATGCCTGCCAGTTTTCTGTAGTTGGCTGCTCAATCATTGCCCTTGTTGTTGACCAAATTGGCCGGGGTGTGGGGGATGTGGGTGGGAATTAATAAAGCATTATGAGAGCTGTGAAACTGGTACTGTCAGATTTGCTTTCTTTATCATGTTTCTACTAGTTTGCTACTTGGGTTTTGCCTAAGACTATTGCTTATATTTGCTTTAGTTTTTTAACTTTGCGGTTGTGCAAAGCATTTGGAAGAATGCCTCAGGTAGGGCACCACAATTGAAACACCACTTCTGGAAGTATTAAAACAGCCATATTTGTTGGATGGCTCATGGCTCTGTTTTTAAGAATGTCCTCAGCTAGGTGCATGTAGGTGTGCATGTGCCCATGTTACAAGCACTGCGGCTTTGTTTCACTAATGGTCCCAGGTTGATTGTCTTTTGTTCTTTGTGTCCTAAAGCTGGAAACAAGTTTGACTTCAAAAGCTGGAATTTTCATAGGGTTTCTTTTTTCTAGCAAGCTTTAGAGCAATGTAATCCTATTTCTTTGCATGAGAGGATATAATTTGCATGTCTGTAGGCTATTCCAGAACTCCATCTAAGTCTGTAAGCTTCAGTCTACCCTTCCCATTTTGTCCAATGAAGAATTCTCAGAATTTCAAAAATGTGAATGCTAGTTTGAACATGTTAGGATATTGAGGTTCCCTCTCCCCATTTATAGTCAAAACAGGTCCTTTTTGTTGTTTCATACCCTGTTTCCTTCTAAATAAGGCCTCCCCGGATAATAAGCCCAATTGGGCTTTTGAGCGCATGCGCTAAAATAAGCCTTTTCCCGAAAATAAGCCCTCCCCAAAAATATTGCAACATAGAAGCAGCCATGAGGTGACCACACTCGCTGCCTCCTGCACCTAAAAAATAATAAGATCTCCCCAAAAATAAAGCCGTGTTTATTTCGGGGGTCAAAAGAAAATAAGACACTCTCTTAATGAGCCGAGGTGGCGCAGTGGTTAGGGTGCAGTACTGCAGGCCACTTCAGCTGACTGTTATCTGTAGTTCAGCGGTTCTAATCTCACCAGCTCAAGGTTGACTCAGCCTTCCATCCTTCCGAGGTGGGGGCATATGCTGACTCTGTAAACCGCTTAGAGAGGGCTTAAAGCCCTATGAAGCGGTATATAAGTCTAACTGCTATTGCTATTGCTATTATTTTCAGGGAAACACGGTACATAAATAGAATAAAAAATAACTTTTATGTTATTTAGGAAAATTGTTTGACAACATAACATTTCAATATATTTTTTATGTAGTGCTCTGGCTATATTTCTAGTGAAAATTGTGGTGGATAACAATCTGTTTGGCTCCTATTAAATTGTGTTGTTTGAAATTTTATATTTTGTCTTTTTGAATATGTGTGTGTGTGTGTGTGTATACGTATATATAAATAAACATCCCAATATTGTAGAATTGTTTGAGCAGTCAAAATGATGGTAAATGAAGTCATATTGCCTTATAATGGCTGATTTTAAAACAGTCAAATAAATGGATTTTGTTGATTTTAGAAATATTTCTAATTTTTTAATGGGTTAATAAAATAAAGTTTTTAATGCCTTGTTCTTTCAAAATAATGTTTGTATTATCTTAACTAAAATATGTGTTTGGATTATATCAGTTTGCGATATTAACATGTGGTCAAGTAGGAATGTGTTAATTATTAATTATCATTCAAGTTTCAAAAAGTTTATTCACAAATTATGTAGTTTTATGGTGACAGTATAGGGATTCATTATTTGTACGAGTTTAACTAATCCTTTTAATTTCCTGTTTTCTGGCATGTTACTCATTTATTCATTCCTTCATTCTTCATTTTGTATGCACTTAGGTCGAGCTTCAGTTTCAGTTAAACCGCTTACCCCTCTGTGAAATGCATTATGCCTTGGATAGGATCAAGGACAACGGTATCCTGTTTCCAGATGTCAGCATGACCCCCACAATACCTTGGAGTCCCAATAGGTACAAAAACTTTAATCCAGGGAACTAGTATATTAAAATTACAGAATTTGCATTCCTTGTATTTAGATGATTCATATAACCTTGTCCATTATAATGTTTTAGGTAAAGTGATGAAAAAGAATGACTATTTTTTCCTATGAATGTCAGGATTAGGCAATGGACTATTTTTATTCTTTAGATCAAAGGCCAGTTTTAATCAATCACATCATTTATGGAAGAAACTGCTTTAAAAATGAACTGTTCTTTCAAATATGACATACTTAATGCAGATTAAAGCTCAGTTGGAAACATTTGTGTTGGTTTATATAAAAAGCTATGGAGAAAAGATGGATCTGAATAGAGCAATCTAAAAGAATCGGGTATGAGAGGATTTTAATCTGCCTGATGATGTGATGTTGCATCTTTTAGTTAGGGGTGTGGTGAGAATCAAAACTTTTCTAACTCTGGTTTGTAGTATTTGTAGAATATTATTATTTGTTTTTTAATCTTACTATTATACTGGTACATTACAGGCAGCAAATTAATTAAACTGCTGTGTTTTTGTGACTTTTGTGTATTGCTCATGTATATATTCCTTGTAGATCAATACATGACAATGTTTCTGAGATATGAATCTACCGTAATATAAACAGTACATTCAGTGGTGGGTTCCGGCAGCTGCTACTGCCAGTTTGCTCAGAGACCTGCTGCGTGCGCATGTGCAGTACAATGAAAATTGCTCTGCACATGCTTAGGAGCCAAAAACAAATGGCGGCGCTAGGAGAACCGGTTCAGGCGCGTGGCAGGCCTGAGTCACTGCTGGGTCCAGCGACCCACATCTCCAAGCTACTACTGGTTCGGCCAAACAGGGCTAAACCAGTAGGAACCACTGAGTACATTTTACAAAAAGGTAGCAAAAAAGTATAAAAGAATCAAAAGGTATTTTACCATTTGAGGAAACAATGCTGCATACAAAGCCTTTTGAGCTTGAATTTAGACTGATTTCATTGTTTGAAAGTAAGGTACGTTTGTAATCTAGGCAAGGAGTAGACAATCTTTTTATCCCAACAGCTCTTCTTTTTATTTCTATTTCTTTGTGTGCAAGATAATTAGATCACTGGAGAAGACAGGATTGTGTTTTTGAGCCTGATATTTCTCTCTCTAGGTTTTTTTTAAAAGGTTATATAGGTTTTACCTTTATCTCCCAGTGGCAATACCAAGCCAGCATTACCGAGCCAGTCTTAACTTGGAAAAGTTAAGTGGGTTTTTAGACATGGGAAGAAGGCAGTAGCAAACTACTTCCATATTGTTGTTGTGAAAACTTGCAGTACTTGTAGTCTTCAGAAGCCAAATTCAGTTGAGGGAGTCTTCATCTTTTATCACAAAAGACAAAGAGAAAGCAATTATTCTTGAATACAGGTAGTCCTTGCTTAATCTAATTGGAACTGGAATTTTCATTGCTAAGTGAGGCAGTTGTTAGGTGAAACGCCACAGGACCTCACTGCTTAGCAATAATAGTTCCATTAGTTAGGCCAGGATTGTGCTCTTGTTAAATAAATACTTCACGCTTCTCCTGCCCTGACACATTTGCCTCTGTTTCAGCACACACATCCCATCTCTTTTGGCCTTTTGACCATTATGTATTCTGCCACCACCCACTGTCACCACCCCCAAAGTTGCTGGCCCTTTGAAAAGCTTTGGAAGAGGAATGCTCTGCTGAAAATGAGCAGAGGACCTGCAGGTTGTTTCTGTTGGTGCTGGAATCGCCTCCAGTCCACACAGAAGGCCACAAGCCATTTATCTAGGAACACTTCCAGTGTGAACCACAGAGCCTATGCCGCAAACAGCCCTGGAGAACCTGTCTGTGGGCTTCAACAAATTGGAAGCTGCTGGCGCTTTGCAAGGTTTTGCAGGAGGAAGGCTGGACTGAGAGTAAGAGGTGGGCTGTACTGGTGCTGGACTTGCCTCCATACCTCATTGAAGCCTGCAGGCTGGGTCTCCATGTGTGCTTCTAACACAAGCTGCAGAGAAGTGGAAGCCCTCATCCCTCTGCTGTCTCCAGTTCTGCCACTACCCTGGGCAACACCTGCCATACATTCTCCACCTTTATCTGGGAAGGCCCCGCCTCCTCTCCTGCCTCGCCCAGTGACAAAGAACACTACACCTTGCTGCCACATTGTCTTCTCCCTGGCTGGACCCATCAAGCTTTGGCTGATGAGGTTCTGCTGCCCTGCGATGAGCACTTGGATTGTGGGCCAGCAGCATGAACAAGTCAGTCAGATGGTAGTGATGGGATAAAGGGGAACAGAGCTCTGCGGTAGAATCCAGAGCAGCAAAAAGGACAGAAATAGGGAGAAAAATAGGCATGTGGGAGATGAAGCTTGCCTGCAGTCTTCTACATGCCTACTTGTAAATCTGCCACTGCCCATGCTAAAGCTGCAGTTTAAAACAATCATTAATCTAATCTATAAATGGTCTCAAGCATTTACTGCCCCAATTTCATTCTTTCAAATTCTATAGTGTTAGTGCTTCTCAGTGTCAAAGGTAGGATTTTATATTCTTTCCCAAATTATTTTAAAACATCCACTCAATTGATCACATTTTTAATTATATTTTAATTATATTTTAATTATATTTAATTATACAGCCATGGACTTGACCCAGGTAATTCGGGGTCTGACTCCCTCAGCGGGTCACACGCTTGACCTCGTATTTCTCTCAGAGCAGTGGAGACGTGATCTAGATTTGAAGGGCATTAAGACCTTGCCCT